TAGCTAGCGAAACYTTTCGCTCTAAAAGCGTCTATGTTATTCAAAATATGCAAATTCCTTGAGATTTATACAAATTTGACCTGAAAGGTCATATAAACAATAGAAACGGTAAAGTCTTTGCAGTTTTGTCAGTATTGTAACTTTGAGTAATTATTTGATCGTTTGAATCATGTCATATCTCGTAAGAACTAGTAAACTTAGTAATAACTTTGAGTTCGTGGACCGKCMCGTTCCGAAAATTACGCTGAACATCTTTTAGTGTGGGTCTATCACGAGAGAGCTTAGGTCGAGCATAAACCGGAAGCAAGAAATCTTYATAGGGTGTCCCAGAGCCTACGACAGGCAGCTAGAGGCCGCGAGAGTAGGATCTGGGTACGAGAATRACTGGTCAGTTRAGACATCGTTATCCATTAACAATATAATGTGCTGTTTTGTTTCAGAATATAAAGATTAGAGCTCTTTTGCTGTGCAATCCTAACAATCCTTTTGGCTATATTTATTCTGAGAAGCTCTTACAAGACTTTCTAGAATTCGCTCAAAGGTAAAAAAATAATTTACCACCTATTACGTATATTAATCTGTTTGRTTTGATTTGGTTTAGCAGTGATTCGATTCAAATTTTAAGGTCGTTAAGGACACTGCTGCTGTATATGATAACTCAGAAGGGTCGCATTTTCAAGGCACGCCTGTTAGATTTTTACTCGTGTCTTTCCAACGTCGTCCCCAGGGCCATAATCCATATCGCAACCCGCGGAAAGCCTTGTGATGCAGTGCATTTTGGGATTGATAAATGAGTTAACAAGTGAAAAACGATGTCAGTGCTCCAGTTGTCTGTAACGTAGACTCAGTTTTCGAAAAACATTGGGAAATATTGATATTGTAGTTAATCTCAGAAGCGAAAAAACAAACAAATATCAACATGCAAGGAAATACAGCAAGAAAAACCTACAAAAAATGTAAAGTTAATCAACAACTTCAATTTACTAGGCAAATCAAGCAAAAATGAAAAGAAACATATTTTGTATGTGGAAAAATCGAAAAATCTAATTAGTGTTTTTACGATTTTTGCGATTTGTTTTGATGGAGAAAGTGAGATATATATCCCATGATACATTGCAAAACCATTCAAAATGGCGGGCTTGTGATATGGTCTATCTCGGCCGACTTCCTTTCGGGGAGATGGCCCTTTTTAACTCCCATTGTTTCATTTTAATATTAACTTGGGTTCTCGATAAGCACGGGCCAGCACCTTCGTATAATCATTTTCGAAACGAATTTGGAGGATCGGGCAGTCTTCCTCATGCTTGTATTCGACCTTTGTGACTGAACGGTACGACGAAACAAATTATGATTACTTACAAATAGAATTTTAAGTAAATGATTTATGAATACAGGTTTTTTTCGTTAAAATTTAATTATTTTTAACTTGATTATTGACAACCAGGGACGAGCGCCTTCACTTAAAACATAAATCTAGCCGCAATYATGTAGCATTGGTACGCGTGGCCGAGAGGTAGTGCCTTCGATTTSTAATCCAGAGGTCTGAGGCTCGAGACCCAGAGGAGCTGACATCTCTTTAGATTTCTTTCTTTGCCAAATAATAAATACATTCAATCAAAAGATAAAAAAGGGAACCCGGTAACGGTAAATTAATGAGTAAATTACTAGAAAACAATGAGAATAAAAATTAATAGTTCTGAACGCAAGTAAAACAGGCTCAAGTTTACAGGAAAGTGAGTGACTGACTGACCGTGTGACAGATTCGTCCCCCTCTTCGATTGCTTCGCAATTAATGAAGACTCTCGTAGAATTTTCCAGCTCTACCCAGCTCGCAATCAAAGGAACTGTATTCTTTCTTGCACCTCCTTTATTCATTGACGTTCAAACACTATCTGAATTAAATTTACAACTCGTGGCTTACAGACTATGATACTAAAACAATAGATACTAAAACAAAATTTCTTTGCGTACTTACTTTGACAGTTTCTTTGTTATGTAGGTTGATTACTAAAATGACTTAAACCACACCTAGGATTTAACAAAAATGTACCAAAAACACAAATTTCAGATATGAAATCTCAGATATGTTAAGAAATTGTTCCTTTTGCCTTCGGATTGGGATACTATTTGACTGTTTGATGGTAAATGTGAACTTGTTTTTTAAACAATATTCTTTTTTGACACACTAAAACCAAGACTTTCAATAAAACATGTTTCGTCTATTGACCTTTTCAATCATTGATACGTTTAAGATTACAAACTCTTTGATGATCAAATTTTTAAGAAAATTTGTGTTGGCTGTTTGTTGAAGTTTATATTGTTTGCTTTAATTGAACTCCCGAGATATTGATGGTTGATTGCCGTTGAGGCGAAGTTGTGTTTACTGAGGGATTATTATTATTGCTTTTTTACACTTGCGGTGATTTTATTTGTGTTTCGGATCCTGATGTAGCGCTACTAGACGTGGCAGCATTTACCCAACGATCGCAAATATTAAATAGTTGTGGCTAGACTTGGATTTGTCTCGCCGGCGCTCGCCCGTGTTTATCCAGAACCGAAGTTAAATTAATAAAATTTTAACGAAAAAAAAACTGTATTCATAATCGTTTACTTAAAATC